TAACAAATTTGCACTAGCGTTTGTTAAGTAAATTTAAATYCTACAAATTCATGTAATATTTACACATCATTATCTAGTAAAAGTTATTAAGAATATAGTTAAAGATTTGTGAATAAATCAGGTAAATTTTACTTAATTTGCTCAATTAAATCTTGTAACATATACTTGATCAAAATTTACCTGATTTATTCACAAATTTTTAACTATTTTTAATAACTTTTACTAGATAATGATGAGTAAATGTTACATGAATCTGTAGCATTTAAATTTACTTAACAAACATTAGCGCAAATAGAGGAAAAAAGAAAAAAGAGGATTTTTTTCTAGTAAATCTTACAAGTTCTTTGTAACAGTGCACATGCATCAAGCACAATATTGTAGCATGACACCTCACAGCTACAGAGAGAGGTGTAGCTCTTGTTGTAGTTCAATACTTCACCACCAGGTGGCAGTTTTAAAGAACCTTTATTGGATTCTTCTTCATGAACAACACAGACAAAGTTAAACTCACAGGTCTTATTAATGACTAGGCCTACCACTCTCACTTATGGTTACTTCTGCTGAACGCTTTAACACAAGTTAACAAATAATGAACACACAAATTAGAGAAGCACAACAGACTTATTGCTGAAAGAACAATGTTAACCAATTCCCTACAATGATTTAACAACAACAAACATGAATCCTACCCACAATCCTCCACTGCAGTCACATGACAAACAGCCAAACACAGCAGAATGCTACAATATGCATTCCCTGTTCCCTGACAACTAAATATCACCTACATTATGTCATCAAACTATTGCACACCAACAAATGTATTCAAGCAAAAGAAACCAGACAACTTATGTTTTATTTCCACCATGTCTTGTCCTGTCCTTGAAAAGTGAAGCAAGGAAATGAGGAGCAGCAGCCTTTGTGTGTGCATGCAGCCTCAGTTTTAGTCCAGAAGAGTAGAAGTTACTTCATATATTCATGTTTATGTGCTGTCCAGAAAAAACACTMAAATATTACTGYTAKAATWYTATTAGCATTTACTTTTTTGTACAATAATACTGATATATAARATAATGTGTTTTGTTTATTTAGTAAATTCTAGTAGTTTAGAYATGTTGATATTTTTTGTAAAATTTAAAAGAATAATTAAATAAATGTTACTACACCCTAAAATCCTTTTTTTCAGTGAAAAAATGGTCTCAAGAACTCTAACACTGTAAAATTTGATCTATTCATTTCCCATTGAATGTTATTGACTGGCATCAGCTGTTAGACAGGTTCACCTTCCCATGTGCCGAGTGTCATTAACACCTGAGTGGAGACTGCTGCATTTACYGAGGTGCTGTAATCAGGAGACATGAACGAATGGACAAATGTCCACATGTCTTACACCTTCCAGAATACTGGAACAAAGACAGCACCTGTCCACACGTGGCATACGAGTCTATGGACTGTCTGCACTCTGTTGAGGTCCTGTAGTGTGGAATCAGTTCATATGTTAACCTGGTGCTGACCTGCTGGATCCAACAGCTACATGCTGTGTTCTCTGACTTTCTATGAGTCACAGCCCTGAAGAGGCACCAAACCCTCCTGACATGAAACCAGCACCGGTCCATTTGATCTGATACTGTAATCATTACAACACACCACCTTCCAACAGATGCAGTTTCATTTAAACTCCACTCCATCTGGATGCTGATCCTTCTTGGTCAGCGGACGTCTCTGGTATTTGAATACATAAATACATGATGTACAACTCTGTGTGGAAGCAAAAAAACGGTTGTGTAGAATGTAGTTATGCAAAGACAGTTACCCGCGCACACAAATATGTGTCTTGGCTCAGCAGTAAACATCTGCTGATGACAGAAAGATCCCTGAAAATCTGAGCCTCCCCAGCGTCAGCCCACAACCGCCCGACTTTTCTAAACCGCCATCATTCCCGCCTCAACCTCTGGACTGCAATAAAAGACTCACTAAACTGTGGAATATGTTGAAGCTCTTTTACATTTTGTCACTTTGTTGGAAAACTCTCCTTCTATTCCTGATTCATTTCCTGTGAAGAAGTGCTTTCACAGTCTTTGTTTTACCAGTACCAGCAGAAGCTCTCAACTCAGCTCAATTTTTTTCCATTCAATTTTTTTCTTCTTCTTTTGGATAACAACCGTTCAGTAAACTCTCGTGTCTAATTTACATCCTGCAATACATTTGGTATTCAGGTGAAACAAATAATTATATCCATAAGTAGATTGACTGGCTGGTTTATGTTGCTACAATCCATCACAGCAAAAATGCCAGTGTTAACAACAACAGTGTTAATTTCAACACCAATAAAGTGTCTATATGTGTCCACTAGAGATGTGACGTACACGAACGATGCGAGTCTTTTGAACGGCTCTTTACAATGAATGATAGGAGCTGAATCGCGGGCAGTAACGAGCCATTTGTAGTTTTWTTTCCTTTATTCCTCWTATAATTTTTATTTTTTCATACTTAAATRGCTCCCGCTTTGCTTTTTCATGGAAAACAGGGGGAGTTGTGGAGTACAGAAGCTAACGGTGAAAGGGGGAGGGGGCTTTCCACTTGACAAACACATGGTTCCACCCACGTGACGGGATGACGTCATTACGTACGACTACGTGATGACGTAATACGTTCAAAATCGAACGGCTCTTCTGAACGGCTCTATGAAACAAACGGCTCCCCAAGATCCGGATCCCTTCAAAGAGCCGTTTATCCCATCTCTAAACAATACTTGGTCTCACATTAACATAAAAATAGTGTTAGCGTTAAAATGTAGTGTTAAAAATAACACCATTCAGTGTTAAATATATCACAATACTGAGTTTCATATTAACATTTTAACAGTGTTAGTTGAAATAGAAGAGTTAGAAGAGAAATATAATGGAGTCACTCTTCACACACCAGGACATACCTCTCACTCATGGTGTCGATTTATGTCCAATAAAACAAACTTAAAGTTGAACAACTTGATCAAACTGAACAAGAACACAACCAGAACAACTAATTTTTCCTCTCATGAACGTCTTTAATAGTCATAAACATACAAACACATCATTTCTGCAAGATTTCTCAGCAAGGAATGCTGGGTAAATACTGGTCTGTCTGACATGAGGTGGAAGAAGGCGGGGCTTTTCAGAAAACTGCTTTCAACACTGCATGGTGTCAAATAACAACACTTCAGTGTTAAATAAGACTTAACTGTGGGCGGAGCTTATTTAACACTGTCCAGTGTTGATGCAACACTGAGGAAATCAACACTGTGAATTAACACCAACACTGGGTGTCAGTTTACGCAGAAAATGTTAAAATAACACTAGGGGGTGTTAAATCAACACACAAAAGTTTAACACTGAAATTGCAACACTCCTGTTTTTGCTGTGATCCTTTGGTGTAAAAACCTACAGTACATGCAGAAAGTGCACAGAATGAAGCAGAAAGCTTTAGAGAAATGTTTAAAGGTCACTCAAACTGTGCAGGCACTTTGCAGCACACAAAAAATAGCACTTCATAAAACGTTTTTGATTAAAAAACAGTTTTCATCAAAACTAGATAAGACTTTTCTTCCCAGCAAATCAGAAACAAGCTTTGAAGATAACTAAACGCAGTGACACGTTTTGACAACAACATGCCAGCAGAAGTTCATCTGATCCAAACCAGAACACTCACTGATGGACAGCTCTGTGTGCGTTTTCTGATCCTTCCTGACAGCTGTGGTTGGATTAATGAAGATCCAGTCAACCAGATTAATGGGTTAATATTGGATACAATCCAGGAAAAAATAAGTAGGTCCTCTGGATGGTTCTTCTTTCCTGAAACATTTCGTCTCTCCTCCAAGAGACTTCTTCAGTCTGATGAGTTTCAGGTGAACTCAGCCTTATAAGCACTGCCTCCACATGGACAAACAGGTTAGTCATATGCAAAAGAGGGCCATCGCCTAACAATAGGCTTGATTAGCTCTATTGTTCATAGAGGGTCATGTGACCCATCACCTGACTTATTGGTTTGAATGCTTTGGCTGTGGTTATTTGGTGTCGTGTTATGTGTATGTAGTGAATGCAAGCGGGATTCAACGTCCCCTTGTTTTTGTTTTTTCCCTCTTTGTGTTGGTATCATTGGGGCCCTGATTCACACCTTTTGCTCACAGGGGGCGGAGTCATACTTGCAATAACAGCATTGTAGGTCACTTAACTCGGTCTCCACTTGTCTACAARGCTGGTATTGCAAGCATGACTCCGCCCCCTGTGAGCAAAAGGTGTGAATCAGGGCCCCAAAGACACCAACACAAAGACGGAAAGAGAGACAAAAACAAGTAGACATTGAACCCCGCTTGCATTCACTACATACACATAACACGACGCCTAAGAACCACAACATCCAAACCAATAAGTCAGGTGATGGYGCACATGACCCTCTATGAACAATAGAGCTAATCAAACCTATTGTTAGGCGATGGCTCTCTTTTGCATGTGACTAACCTGTTTGTCCATGTGGAGGCGGAGCTTATAAGGCTGAGTTCACCTGAAACTCATCAGACTGAAGAAGTCTCTTGGAGGAGAGACGAAACGTTTCACTAACAAAGAACCCATCCAGAGGACCTACTGATTTATTTTTTATTTTTTCTACCTGGATTACTGAGATGCATCAGGACAGCATTAAAAATATACATTTTGAAAACTACAGCTCAAGTCTAATGGTTCATGTTGAGTTTTTAACCATTAGGTGCTCAGTACTCCAGAGCAGCTGGTTCCATCACAGTAAATGGACTCTGAGGTGGAAGTCAAAGCAGATTGTTTTTCCTACATAAACTCCTCCCTAAAATCTGCCGCAGCCCCTAAAAGCCCACTAAACACAAACACAATCCGGCCCCCACTGGCCCCCCTCCACGCTGACTGGATTTATTTTGTCAGTGTGCATTAAGAAGATAAAGTTCTGCACCTGAGCTGTGTGTTAGTGTTCGCACTGTTCATGTCCAGGTTACTTACTGCTCGCTGAGGACAGAGGACTGTAATCAGACCTGCAGAGGACCAAAGGAAAAGACAAATGAGGATTGGGATGATGTGGACATGGAGGGGGGAGGGGAGGAAGAGAGAGGAGACAAGTTTATATTACAGTATGTGAAGTGAACTCTGCATGATTTACAGGACAACGTGTTTCTCTGACAGCTGCTTAAACAGAAGGAGACGTCCTGCTGGACAAAAATACACAAAGATGGTTTCTAAATGCAAGGGTACAACACTGGGACATTTACTCAAATATTACTCTAAATCAGAGGTCTCCAAACCATTAGCAGGCTTTTGCAGAACCTGAAGAGGTGATTCAGATGTGTTGGTGCAGAGAAACAAGTAAAACATGGAGGATAGAGGCCCTAGTCGTATAATCAAGTCGAGGATTCTCGTTGGGAGTGACGAGGATGGACGAGATTAGAAACAATCAGATCAGAGGGACAGTGAAGGTGGAACAGTTTAGAGATAAAGCAAGAGAAGCCAGGTTGAGATGGTTTGGACATGTTGAGGAGGGAGAGTGGATATAATGGACAGAGGATGTTGGAGATGGAGCTTCCAGGCAGGAGGAGATGAGGAAGACCACAGAGAAGATTCATGGGTTTAGTGAAGCAGGACACGGAGACGGTTGGTGTAACAGTAGAGAAGGCAGATGATCCACTGTTGCCATCTATGGGGTGTCGTTTGTAAATTTACATAGTCAAAAATTACCACCAATATTTTTGTTTTTGTAGCCTTTTATAAGAAAAATAGAACTGATTTATTTTTCAAAGTCAGTTTTTCACCAGATTCATACATTTATAAATGTCATAGTTTATAAACTAAATATTTAACTTATAAACTA